GCCGCGGGTGGGCGCCGAGAGCCGAGGGGAGGGCCGCGGGTGGGCCGGCGCGGGGCCGCCGCCCGGGACCGGCTCCAGGGTCGCTTTCCCGTTGCAGACGCCAAGGAGCAGGTCCTCGCCAACCTGGCCAACTTCGCCTATGACCCCAGCAACTTCCAGTACCTGCGGCAGCTTCAGGTCCCGGATTTGTTCCTGGACTCGCTGTCGGAGGAGAACGAGACCCTGGTGGAGTTCGCTATGGGTAAGGGGGGCCGGACCCGACACCTGCGGGGCTGCCGCGCGATGGGAGGGTTGCAAGGGAGTCGTCGGCAAAGCGGCCTTTAGGGGCCCCCCTTGTCGCCCCACAGGCCATCAGGTCACAGCTAATGTGCGGGAGTGCGGGGGTCCCACCCAGGCCCCACCCTCTGCCTAGAGATGGGATCGCAGACAGGGAATGGGAGGGAGCAGCTTGGAGGTGGATCTTTAATGCGACGATAATGTAGACTTTAAAGTCTTTGTCGTTTACTGAAAGGCAGAGAGAGAGAGATTGAGAGATTGCACCCACTGGTTCGCTCTGCAAATGGCCACAACTTCTCCCAGGTCTAGGCCAGGCCAGGCCAGGGCCAGGATCCGGGACCTTCATCCCTCAGGTCCCCACAGGGGCAACAAGGGCCCAGCACTGCCTTCCCGGCTGGATCAGAAGCAGAGCAGCTGGGACTTGAGGCAGGACTCCCGCCAGTTGGCCCACTGCGCCCTCATCCCTGTCCTCGTGCAGAAATGTTTGAAGTCCATACATAGGTTTTTTTGTGAGACTTTTTCATGAACTTGTAATTAATTAATTAATTTGAGAGGCAGAGAGACAGACAGAGCTTCCATCTGCTGTTTTACTCCTCAAATGACAGAAATAGTCAGGGCTGGTCCAGGCCAAAGCTGGGGGCCAGGAATTCTATCCAGGTCCCCCCCCATGAGTGTCACGGATCCGACTACTTGAACCCCTCATACAGTGCCTGCCCAGTGAATACAAGGATATTTCAGCAAGTTAATGGGAAGTGGAGTTAAAATATAAGGGTGTTTTTGGTGCAATTAAAAAAATTAAATTTTTTTCATAATGCACATATTCTATGAATTTTTAAAAATATTTCCCCCCACTCTACTGTACTCTTCTCTTCCTTCCTTCTTTCCTTTTTTTCTTTTCTTTTTTTTTAAGATTTATTTTATTTATTTGAAAGAGTTAGAGAGGTCTTCCATCCGCTGGCTCACTCCCCAAATGACCGCAGCAGCCAGAGCTGAGCTGATCCAAAGCCAGGAGTTTCTTCCAGGTCTCCCACATGGGTGCAGGGGCCCAAGGACCTGGGCCATCTTCTATTGCTTTCCCAGGCCACAGCAAGGAGTTGGATCAGAAGTGAAGCAGCCAGGACTTGAACTGGCGCCCATATGGGGTGCTGGAGCTGCAGGCCAGGGCTTTAACCTGCTGCACCACAGCGCCAGCCCCTTTTTTAAAAAAAAAAAAAATTTACTTATTTGGGGGACCAGTGCTGTGGCACAGTGGGTTAAAGCCCTGGCCTGAAGCGCCAGCATCCCATATGGGTGTTGATTCTAGTCCTGGCTGTTCCACTTCCAATCCAGCTCTCTGCTATGGCCTGGGAAAGCAGTAGAAAACGGCCCCCCTGCACCCACGTGGGAAACCCAGAAGAAGCTCCTGGCTTCAGATCGGTGCAGCTCCAGCCATTGCGGCCATCTGGGGAGTGAACCAGCAGACGGAAGACCTCTCTCTCTGTCTCTACCTCTCTGTGTAACTCTGTCTTTCAAATAAATAAAATAAATCTTAAAAAATAAGTTTATTTATTTGAGGCCAGCACTGTGGTGTAGTATGCTAAGTCTCTGCCTGCAGCGTCAGCATCTCTTACGGGCACCGGTTTGAGTCCTGGCTGCTCCTCTTCTGACCCAGCTCCCTGCTAATGCTCCTGGAAAGAAAGCAGCAGAGGAGCGCCCAAGTGCTTGGGCCCCTGCACCCATGTGGGAGACCCAGAAGAAGTTCCTGGCTCCTGGCTCCTGATTGGCCCAATTCCAGCTATTGCGGCCATTTGGGGAGTGAACCAGCAGATGGAAGATATCGCTCTCTCTCTCTCTCTCTCTCTGTAACTCTGCCCTTCAAATAAATAAATAAATAATCTTAAAAAATATTTATTTATTTATTTGAATGGCAGAGTTATATAGAGAGGGAACAAAAGAGACAGAAAACAAGCTAGATATTCCATTGGCTGATTCACTCCTCGGATGCTGCGATAGCTGGAGCTGGGCTGATCTGAAGGCCAGGAATTTCTTCTGGGTCTCTCACATGGATGCAGGGGCCCAAGCACTTGGGCCGTCCCCTGCTGTTTTTCCAGGAGCATTAGCAGGGAGCTGGGTCAGAAGTGGAGCCGCTGGGATATGAACCTACGCCATTGTGCTGGGCCTTACAAAAATTCATATATTTATATATTTTTCATAATATACATATTCCATACATTTTTTGAGGATCCCCCTCACTTTTTAAAAGATATTTATTTATTTGAAAGGCAGAGTTGGCCGGCGCCGCGGCTCACTAGGCTAATCCTCCGCCTAGCGGCGCCGGCACACCGGGTTCTAGTCCCGGTTGGGGCGCCGGATTCTGTCCCGGTTGCCCCTCTTCCAGGCCAGCCCTCTGCTGTGGCCAGGGAGTGCAGTGGAGGATGGCCCAGGTGCTTGGGCCCTGCACCCCATGGGAGACCAGGAAAAGCACCTGGCTCCTGGCTCCTGCCATCGGATCAGCGCGGTGCGCCGGCCGCTGCGCGCCAGCCGCGGCGGCCATTGGAGGGTGAATCAACGGCAAAAGGAAGACCTTTCTCTCTGTCTCTCTCTCTCTCTCACTGTCCACTCTGCCTGTCAAAAAATAAAAAAAATAAAATAAAATAAAAAATAAAATAAAATAAAAAAAATGAAAGGCAGAGTTACAGAGAGAGAGGGAGAGATACAGAGATCTTCCATCCATTGGTTCACTCCCCAAATGGCCACAACAGCCGGGGCTGGGCCAGGCCGAAGCCGGGAACCAGGAGCTTCATCAGAGTCTCCCACATGGGGACAGGGGCCCAGGAACTTGGGTCATCTTCAGCTGTTTCCCTAGGCACATTAGCAGGGAGCGTGATCAGAAATGGAGCAGTAGGGACTTGAACGCACACCCATGTGGGATGCCGACATGGCAGGGTGCTGCTACACCACAACACCGGCTCCGCCCCCTCACTCTTTAAGCCAGGTTCTGTTCTGAATGTTGGGGAGATGTTGAGCAACGGGTTCTGCCTACAGGAGCTTACATTCTAGAAGGGGAGACGTGGGGAGCACATTAAAATGATGCTGCTCGGGGGGAAGTCAACAGGAGGGGGACAACTTCCGTGTTGGCCGTGATGGGCAGGCACACTCGGCAGAGGTGCAGAAGCCGTGAAGGAGCAGAGGGAAAGCAGGCGCGGCAGGACGGCGGGGAGAGACCTGGAAAATGGCGCCAAACGAGGCTGCTGGCAGCGGAGCTGGCCAGGGCTTACATCTGACCGTGGGGATGAGTTTGGCATTTATTATGAGAGCAAACACAAATTATTTTTTCAGCATGCAGTTTTTAAGATTTATTTATTTGAAAGTCAGAGTTACACAGGGAGAGAGGAGAGGCAGAGAGAGAGAGGTCTTCCATCCACTGGTTCACTCCCCAGATGGCCACAATGGCTGGAGCTGTGCCGATCTGAAGCCAGGAGCCAGGAGCTGCTTCTGGGTCTCCCACGTGGGTGTAGAGGCCCAAGGCCTTGGGCCATCTTCTACTGCTTTCCCAGACCATAGTGGAGAGCTGGATCAGAAGTGGAGCAGCCAGGACTTGAACCGGTACCCATTTGGTATGCTGGCACTTCAGGCAGTGGCGTTACCAGCTATGCCACAATACCAGCCCTAAATATTTATTTTATGTATTTGAAAGGTGGTTACAGAGAGACAGAGTCAAAGAGAGAGAATCTTCCATCCACTGGTTCACTCCCCAAATGCCCACAATGGTCGGAGCTGAACTGATCTGAAGCCAGGAGCCAGGAGCTTCTTCCGAGTCTCCCATGTGGGTGCAAAGGGCCAAGGATTTGTACCATCCCCTGCTGCTTTCCTAGGTGCATTAGCAGGGAGCTGGATGGGAAGTGGAGCAGCCAGGACTCAACTGGAACCCATATGGGATGCTGGCACTGAAGGTGGCGGCTCACACCCTGGTATGGGTGCCTGTTTCGAATCCCGGCTACTCCGCCTCCAAGGGCACCTCTCAGGCGCCCTGAGATCTTGGCTCACTGAGCCCTCAGCCCTAGGGGAGGTTTGGGCCTGCTAAAAACAGGATTCAGGGACCAATGCTGTTAAGCTGCCACTTGGAAGTGATGCTGCATCTCATATGAGTGCCAGTTCAAGTCCCGGCTCCTGTTTCTGATCCAGCTTCCTGCTAATAGGCTTGGGAAGGAAGCTCAGGATGGCCTGAGTGCTTGGGCCCTGTCACCCGTGTGGAAGATCAGGGTGGAATTCCTGAATCCTGGCTGTGGCTTGGTCCAGACCTGGCTGTTGTAACCATTTGGGGCATGAACCAGCAGATGAAGATTCTCTCTCTCTCTCTCTCTCTCTCTCTCCCTCTCCCTCCCTCCCTCCCTCCCCCCTCCCCTCCCTCTCCCTCCCCCCTCCCCCCTCCCCCTCCCCCTCCCCCTCCCCCTCTCCCTCTCCCTCTCCCTCTCCCTCTTTGAAGTAAAAATAAATAAATAACGGATGCAACTAAGTGAATTAAGGCTAAATTGCTTTCCTATATTCTACTTCCTGCAATACACGTAGCTGCCACAAGATGGTGGTGGTGCTCAGGTAAAGGCAGGCAAGTGCCGCCTGTGCCTGCTGTCTGGTAAACACCGTGTAGTAAAATGGAAGATAGGGGCGCTCCAGGACCCGGCAGTCCTTCACAGGGTCGGGCACATGCACATCCAGACACGTGTACAGAAGTGCCACCAGCGGGGCCGGCGTGGATTGAGCCTCGGCCTGCGGTGCCGGCATCCTGCGTGGGTGCTGGTTTGAGCACGAGCTGCTCCACTTCTGATTAGCTCCCTGCTGTTGTGCCTGGGAAGGTGGCAGACGACGGCGAGTCCCCGGGCCCCTGCCTGGGAGACGTGGAGGAGGCTGCTGTTGTGCCTGGGAAGGTGGCAGAAGACGGCAGTCCCGGGCCCCTGCCTGGGAGACGTGGAGGAGGCTCCTGGCCCC